TTTTTAGAGTGTAGCGGATCTATGCAAAGATATTTTATTATTTTATTATCAATACAATAAGGATAAAATAACACTTATAATACTGGAAACTAGAATTAAAAATTAATTTTTCTAGCATAAGCTAATGATACTCACTAGAAATTTAATAAGGAACAAACTATTACAAATTTATTATTAGCTAATAAATAAGATGACTTTAGGTAAGCAAATATAATATACTTTTATTGATGGTGATATCTTAAAAGATTAAAACCTTTGATTCTGCTGAACTAATTCATTTAGCTTTAGTGATGATGAGCAAATTTGTACACTCATCAAGATGTTTTGCCATGAACTTGGTAAATCCATCTATCTTTGGATGAACGTGGCACTTGGTAAAGTTAAATTTCAGAATCTCATAATTTATTGAATTCAGCTCAAATTTAGTCTTTTGTTTTGGATGGTGGAACTCCTCTTTCATATGATTATTGTATCTATCTCTTTGGATCCATCAATCCATTTGGTTTGATTTCACCTATAACAAATTTGAGCAACTCAAAGAAGGGTGGAGCCTAATTTGATTATTATTATTATTATTATTATTATTATTATTATTATTATTATTTTATATATATATATATATATATATATATATATATATATATATATATATATATCTCCGTTTCAATTGAATCCTTTTCATATTATATTGCTATTTGCGAGGTTCATTTTTCTTAATATTATATACGCAATAACGGAATTAAAGTGTTAATGGGAAATTAATTACACAGTAAATCCTAATTTGACGATTTAACGAAGCAAGCCTTCCCAACCGCTGGGATTTAGTTAGTGAAGGATTCACCCAATCGCACGCGTCCGATCGTCTCTCGGCTTCATCCGTTCGCTACCCACCTAATCATCGTCGTTCGGTCTCCCTCCCCAACTCCTCCGCCTTTCCCCATTTGCTCACCCATGGCGTCGGCGGCGGCCGGAGGCGTGTCGGTGTGGCATCAGCGGCCGTGCTTGCGGTGGCGGACTCCCGTTTCCTCCGCCTCCAACAAGGTGGCTTTCGTGAAGAAAACCGTATCCTCCCATGACATCGTCATCTTCTCCAAGTCCTATTGCCCGTATGTACATTTTCCACTCGAGCTTCTTGTCGCGATTTCATCCTCGATGTCCTACCTACCTATGTTGATCTCTCCATCGTAATTCGGGTTGATAGGTTATACTTGTTGGCTTTCGATCTTGATCGATTTCTTCTTTTCGCATGAAATGGGCTGTGGGATCGTGTTCTTGCCTCCTGCAAGATGAACGCTGGGTCTTGGATTGGGAGATGGCGCCAATTGGGTTGTTATCTCATTGACCATGGCGCTCACATCTTAGCGTCATGCTATATGCACCTTCGGATTAAATAATAAGCATACTGCAATATGAAATTTGCGGAGTTCGGAGGAATACTTTTAAGGATTTGATATGCTTGTTTACAAATTTTGGTAGGAAGATGAATTGCATATAGGACAGCCCTGTTACCTTCACTCCTGCAAGCTAATTGTTAATTTCTTTTGTTGAATCAGAAGCAAGTACTTTTCGGTAGCACTGGATGATTTTTGTTTAGCTAGCTGAGCTTATTGGGGTCATGGATAGGCACTGAAGCTCTAGATACATTTTAGTACAAGAAACTATTTTTGTTTATTTGCAGTAAGTCTTCCACCTAGAGCATTGTATACACATTGTCAACTTGTATGTCCGGATGTGTAATTATGAGGCAATCATTCTGTTTACAAATAAATTATTTTTGTTCCTTGGCAATCATTTTGATTCTGTTTTGTTTTCCTAGCTTGCACATGATCTTTTTTAGTCAATAAAATCCTCAATTCTTCTTACTGCTCGGACAGGTATTGTATGACAGCAAAAGCAGTTTTTCAAGAATTGAAGAAGGAACCATGTGTTCTGGAGCTGGATGAGATAGGTTTGTTTCCTGCAACTTCATGCAATCCTTTTGCCATGCAACTAAGCCGTGGCTTTTTGTGTTTAATTCCCTTGAAAGAAGTGCACACGACGCTATCAAGATTGGAAGGAAAGAAGATTCTGTTTTGCCGTATAATTTCTAGTGAAAATAAAATAGATGGAGAAGCAGAAGAAGAAGAAGAAGAAGAAGAGATGTAGTTTGAAGGAGCGGTAAGAAGGATGATTCTTCATCTTTCTTACTGCAAACTAAAAACAGTTTTGACTTCAATTTTTGGAGGATCGTCAATGCCGAGACTGTGTGACTTAAAACATCGAAGTATTCTATCTCCTATGCATGCAAATATATTTAGAAAGAAATGTATCAAATTAGGTCCTTGGAGTAACTCTCTTCAATCTACTAATCATGAAACTCCTGATGCCTGCTTCTAAGCTGAGCTCATGATTTGTCCTATATAACTTCAGATATGTTCAAGAATGTGGTCTCCGGGCACAAATTCTACATACTATTTATTAGTCAGTAATTCTTGGCATGGTTAAATAACTAGATAGCCTTCGATACTTTAGGTGTTCGATTACAAGAAGGCCTTGTATGCCATTATGACTCCTCGGGGGCATGATAATACATAGTTTAAATTATTGTTTCATTGCCTTTCTCTTTTTCTGTGTAGAGGATGGGTCGGAAATTCAAGATGCACTGTCTGATATTGTTGGGAGGCGTACAGTCCCTCAAGTGTTTGTCCGTGGAAAGCACTTGGGTGGTTCTGATGGTACCAAACATTTTTTGCCTTCATTATCTTTTTTCACTTTCAAAATTTTAGCTAATTTCCTCTTGGATTCACATGCATTACAGATACTGTTGAAGCTTATGAAAGTGGGAGGCTTCTGACTCTTCTTGGTATTGGCTCAAAAGATGATCCGTAAATAATCCCCTATGACTAACTTTTGGAAAGTTGGGATATGGAAGCATTAAATCTTACATGACCTGCAGGTCTCTCTAAAACAAACTTAATATTTCGTGGACATGATTTTGATGTTACAAACTAGGATATGATGTTTCTTGGTTTGTTATCTCTTTGTTTCTTGTGAGGTATGCATATATTCCGTCTTTACAGTTCAGATTTCATATTATGATTTCCTTCCCATTTAGATGTGATTGTGTCAACATATACCTGAGATATTAGCATGATATTGTTCGACAAGTGCACTTCAAACACTAATCCTTTTCAATTGATAGTTCTGGTTCCTTTCACATTTTTCAGCTTTTACCATCTTTCCACCGGATGGATGGTTGAAGGCCCGAAATTGTTTGGTCATCCTACGCTCGCCAGCTTCAGCACAGACGCCCTTGTTGGCCAACTGTGTGTACTGACACGTTACGCTTTGCTTTGCTAAAGTGTGAACATCATTTTCCTTGTGCACCAAAACTCTTCTTTAAACTCCTTCTAAGGTGCTAATTCCAGTTAGGGAATCTGATCGTTATTTGCACTAGTATATCACGATTCCTAACTCTATCGCGTTCGTAGCACCAGATCTAGCTAATATTTATGCTTTTTTTTTAAACAGTCTTCCTCATGCTGCTATGTTAAAGTATTGTGTTAGTTTAGACCACCAAATAGCATCCAGTTTCTAGTAATTTGTGACGAAGTTACCGACACACTATCAACTTCAAATGATTTGGAGTACTAACAGAGACTTTTTTTTTCTCATTCATTTTTAGTATAGTGCTTTCTCAGATTCTGTGCTGTTCATCTAAAACTTGGACCCTCGGGGCGACATGGTATTTTATCAAAATGATTCTTATTAAAGAAAAGTCGGTAGCTTGCTCTTTCTTGTTAGACTAATAAAAGATGGAGATCGACTTGCTCTAAACATGGAACTACAGGACAGGCACACTTTGGAATTATCAGATTATTGTTGTTGTTGTGCTTCTCACAGACTCTTTGAAATGCCCCTGGAACTTTGGCAGTGACTGGTAAATGGCTGTCTGTTTGCTTGGCTTCTTCTTTTATAATTCATTGTTTTTTTTTCTTTTTTTTGTATAATCATAAACTCTAACCGTATTAAATTACTTCAGTTTAAATTGAGTTGTGATCATATTCCGTATAAAACTAGCTATCGACATTTTTTTGTCTCCATGTCTCTTCTTCTTTTGTCAATGATAGCAAAGGGGTGGAAGCATTATTATCATTATTTTTATTCTTTTGAGAAATGTAAAGAAGCAGAAAAGTGATAGTCTATGGTTTACGTAAATATCATGAACAAATTATTCAGTAATCATGTGACTCATCAAACGAGTCAGTTCCAAAATGCAGCTGCTGCATGAGAAAAAAACAGGATCATCATCATCATCATCACAGTCAAGAGGTATGGCTTGTCTACCAAGTTCCAAAATCCAAGATATTCGTCATCCTAATCCTTGCGTCAACAGGGTTTGGTGTTGACAACCGTGGTCAACCTTCAGCCCCAAATTCCAGACATCATTCTCCTTGCCTTCCCCGACACTGCAATAATGATCATTACCGCCGTAACTATGGCGACCAAGTGGGTGTCGATGGCATGCTTAAGAGCTAATTGTCAATGGCTGGGGAGCCATGGGTGGACTTTAATCGATGGCAATCATACTGTTCATAGATTAGTCCTCGGGTTTCGACATCGAGACACGCTGTGACCAAGTCAACTTCTTCTGTATGGTTGGAGATTTGCCATGGTTTTGCTTCGAGATTTCTTCTTAATGTAGTGACGGTCAAAGAGGTTGTGGGACGAGCTCCACCAGTCTGCCAAGTTTCATACGTAACATGATGTTCATCAAACACACAGTAATCGTGTGTCTCGATCAAAGCCGATTTATCATGTCAACTCCGTCGCAGGAAAACCTGCTTGACACCTGCCTTCGATATCCTTCGTCGATCTCAGTTTCTACTGTCACTCATCAGACGCTGCATGTCAAGTCGAAGGGAACCATTGCTATCAGACTTCGCCACCGTAAGAAACTGCCGGGAAGTTGGCGATGAATTATAATATATCTTATGCCTATAAAAGCTTTTTATTACCTCATGGAAACACCGCGTCTCTCCTTGTGATCTGTACCCTCTATAAAGCCTTGCCTTTGTCTTCCGAGGAACCATCATAACATATAGGTTAGCATGGAAGAAGGCGATTGCAATACTAGCCTTTCCCTCGCGATAGGTGGTGGCAGACAGTTCACGCCAAGTACAAGTCTTCATGTCCTATTCCCGCATCATCCGAAACAAGAAGAAGAAGAAGAAGAAGATACGCACCGACATGTAGGCAGCGTATCGAGATGGAAGGAGCTCGATGAGGAGGAGGAGGAGGAGGATGGTGTCAGCGGTAAGGATGACAGCAGCAACCTGAGCGACGACAAACCAGTCGGCACAAGAAAGAAGCTGAAGCTCACGATCGAACAAGTGAGGTTGCTCGAAGATAGCTTCAGACACCGCAGCACCCTTAATACGGTTGGTGGTGAAATATGAAACCCTCGTTTCCTTGGGCAAACACTAATACATACATGGATTACGTTTGCAGACGCAGAAGCAAGATTTGGCGCACCGGCTAAATATACGGCCACGACAAGTGGAAGTCTGGTTCCAGAATAGAAGAGCCAGGTACTGCATACGAACCCGTGTTCGATGCAAGCTAGTGGCTTAACATGCTTGGTTTGAAACGCTGTACGCATGCAGGACGAAGTTAAAGCGGATCGAGCTGGATTACGAGTGCCTCAGGATGCACTGCGACAGACTGATTGACGAGAACCGGAGGCTAAAGAAGGAGCTGCAGGAGCTGCGGTCTGCGACTCCGGCGTCGCCGTTCTACGTGCAACTTCTCGAGGCAGCAACGCTGATCATGTGCCCCGCCTGTGAGAGGATCGCGGCCGCCGGAAAGAGAAAGAGCAGTGCCTTGGAGGACGGCATGAAGAGGCCGCCGCAGCTGGTGCCTGTAAATACTGCCCTACTCCGTCTGCAAAACTAGCTTATTGTGGTGTGAATTAGAAGATGGATGTTGAAGTAGGGTTGCATCAGAAAGCAAAATCCATGTACTTTGGAATTCATCTGTTTGATCCAACTTTTGTACACATATTTTGTTCCCAGTCGATTGGGAATTTAGATTTGATCTACCTACTCTTAGCAAATGTATCCCTACAACTTGGAACTCGATGGGTGGACGAGACAGAGGAGGAGAAACCAAGTTGGGAAAGACACTATATGATAAGACCGAAGGTTGTCTTCGCACGATGGGAGAAAAACAGGTCTCCTTTTCCAGTCTCATTCCATGTGACATCCATTCAATACTAAACTACATAGCGCGATGTCACATTAAAATCATCAAGAAGAAGTCAAACTGCGTAAAACGTTTGTCGGTTGACTAAGTCAACTGCAGCATGTCATACCCACCATCGTACGTCTTATTGTTCACCAGTTAAAACCTATGTGAAAATTTCCTGAAAACAAATCCCAAGTAGGGCATTTTAACTAAAGAATATTTCTAATATCGAACTTTTATCAAATCTGAGTCACGAATTAATTTTTTACTTGGGGATTTATTTTCATCGATTCAATGAAAATACTCATTTGCCCTCCCCAGTCTCCTTCGACTATTGTCATCTTCATCGTCGTCAGATTCTCATTGTCGTTATCAATCATATTCTTGTTTATTCTTCTTTTTCCTTGTCATTTATCTTTCCTCGACGCCTCACATGAGAGGTTGATAATAACGAAAAGAGAGAAGGAAAAAGCACAAGCGATATTACTTAAGGTGGAAGCAAAGGACGATGACGACAACCAAGGATATTTTAATCAAATTGATAAAAAAACTGTTCTAGTAAAAACCAACCCATAATGCTTCATTTAGTAAAAGTCTAGTAATAATAATAATATTATTATTATTATTTGGTAGAATGCCCCCAAACTAAGCTTTGTGTTTTCTAGCAATAAAGCCAATGGATTCCGTAGCGATCGATCAAGGCTACCGATCAACGCTGAAACTGACGTCTCTTATACTAGTCAGAGGAGGCATGAGAGTCTTCTCTTCTTCCCCTTCGAGCTTCTTTATCATTGTTGCATGTTTCAGTGACGTGTGTGGGTGCAGATCGTCCTCCTATCCTTTCAACGTTACACCGGTAGATTTGTCCAAGCTTGTCTATCTCAGCAACACAAAGATCGGTTCAAGAGATACCTTGTCAACTACGCCAGAGTCATGGCTGTAGAAACATTCTCTCGCACGATCTTCGAACAGTGTGGCAATGAGATTTGTAGCTATCTTTTGGGTAAACGTAAACAACAACGTCACCGTATCATTGCTCACTATGTGAGGGTGAGGTTGATCCACACCTACCAAAGTCTTTGGTCTTCCTGCTTAATACGATGGCCTAATCACAGGTTTCTCCCAAGGATAGGAGTCGTCTACAAGGCAAAGAACAACACTCACCTACTCCTTCGGTTGAATCCACTAATTTCTCTCCACAGTATTTGAGAAATCCAAGTGTTGGGAGGACAGACGTACGGATTCGCATATGTCTCAGTCCACAGTCCACAGACTTGCATGCGATGGATTAGTAATTGTGCTGTACCAATTCATATGAAGTCCATACTTCATTCAATAGGTCACACTATTTTGGTTCAAATTCAATACCAGAACAGGAGGAGGAAATGGAGATGATGATGTTGATACCAAAAGTATATTACAAAATAATAATAATAATAAACATGGTTTGCTATTTCTAAATTCCAAGTTTGGTGGAATTGATTCACACTCAAATCTTTCTTCCCACATTAACATCTAAAGATATAAAGAATATTATTCATAGGGATTCTTAGTCCTTGCATACATCAGTTGCTTATCCTTCAAAGATATTAGAGACTACAACAACAACAACAACCTACCTCAGAGAGATTACTTTAATGAGTTTGACTCGTTCGGTAAGAACTGCACAAGGTCACACACTTTCGTGCGATGGTGTACAACACAGGACGGAAGATGTAGGAGAGAAAGAACTGAGGAAATGTAGACATGATGTGAGCTGAAAAGATTAGCCTCACATTTGCTGGCTCTGCTATCATTGCATGACCCCCCAGAAAATTTCAGAATGAACCAAAAGAAAAGGAAAGATTATAAACAACTGTTGTAGATTCCAGGATTTAAACTCCCATGCTGCATGCCAGCCGAGCAGGCACACATCAAGCTGTCAGTCGAACTTCCATGCGGCGGCCGTCTCTCTGGCCCAGCCTCATCCACACACAGACCATGGAAGTGGGAGATCATAGACCATCTCCGTTTACATGGTGAGGTTGTCATTTGTGGAGGAAGCTATTTGCTGCACTCGGGAAGCACTGCTGGTCCCATCCACATTCTACAGGAGCAGCAGCTGTAAGTCCACATTACTCTCGCCTGTGGCCCCGTTCTAGGCTGGCATCGAGGCTTTCCATCCAGGTTTCTTTACCAATCAATGCCTCAGACCTAAAGCTCTCAGTCTCACTACCATGCACGGCAGGCTACCTCTGACAACATAACATTAACAAGTTGTACTCTCCCGGCTATAAGTACGTGAACCACGCACCACTCGATTGCCGCAAGCCCAAGCGATCCCACCCAAGCTCAACGGGAATGGCCATGGCCAAGACAGCCTTCTTCCGAGCTGCTGTCTTCTCTCTTCTGCCTCTGCTCTCTCGGCTTCCTCCGTCCATGGCGAGGCCTGCAGACTTCGCGCGAGATTTCCACGTAACGTGGGCTGATTCCCACGTCTCACCGACCGGTGGTGGCGCTGCGATACAACTCCTCCTCGATCGATCCTCCGGTATGTATCTTATCCACATTCCCCTCCTCTTCGGTTTCCCCGGTCCTCATCGATCCTGAAAACGATGGCGGCTCGTAAAAAGGTTGTGGATTTGCTTCGAAGAATAAGTTAATGTTCGGGCATGTGAGCATGAAGATCAAGCTCATCTCCGGGGATTCTGCAGGCACAGTAACAGCTTTCTACGTGAGTTCTCTGCTCATTCTAACCCTTCTCTTGCTTTCATGCGCCGTGCGTGGCTAACGACAAACCGGTGGAGGATTTCTTTGCAGCTGAGTTCGGAGACGGATGCCATACGAGATGAGCTAGATTTTGAGTTCTTGGGGAACAGGTCGGGGCAGCCATACACGGTTCAGACCAACGTGTACGCGCACGGGAAGGGAGACAGAGAGCAGAGGGTGAACCTCTGGTTTGATCCATCCGCAGACTTCCACACCTACTCCATCCTGTGGAATCACCACCACGTTGTGTGAGTATTCCATACCTCTGCTACTGCTACTACTACTACCACTAGGCTTACAAGAAGAAGAAAACCATAAAAATCAATGTCATCAAGCTACAACCTGATTGGTTTCTCTGAGATCTTGAGTTGCAAGTATTAGATACTTTCCCACTTCATCAACCCTACGTCATAAAGCTACGACCTGTTTGGTTTCTCTGAGACATGACTTGGTTCAGAGGTGCCCTCCTTTCTGAGGAAAACAGGAAGAGGACCCACCTGAAATGTATCGATCATGAGAGGAAGAACATCACCTGATCCAGTCCGCAAAGAAGCACAAGCAATAATAGCAGGTTACGACAAAGGCTGTGCTGCACTTTGGCAGCATTATTGGCACCTCAAGGCTCTGCGTCGGAAGCAAAGGGCACCCATTCGTTGCGTCACTCACGAAAAGAGAGACAGCCCGGAAAGGAAGGATGCCATCACCAAAAGAGGACAGGCGAAAAGGGTTGCCTCCACCTGCTTCCTTCTGCATGTTGATATTAGATTAATTTTACTTTATATATGGCCTGCTAAACTATCACGAGAATATTTCCACTGGCTTATTTTTAGCTCGGAATGGAATCTCTATCGATGCTCGAACATATAATACACCAAAACAAACAAAAGAAGGGTGCTTTTCATATTCCCTTCGGTAATGTAGAACGCTCTGTTTATGCGTCACCATGTCTTCACCACCACATGAAACATCAACCCACTTGACTCTCGTGGTGCAGCTTTTTCGTCGATGCCATTCCCATCAGAGTGTACAAGAACAACCAAGCACGCGGGGTGGCGTACCCCGACGCGCAGCCCATGGGGATCTACTCCACGCTGTGGAACGGCGACGACTGGGCGACGAGGGGCGGCCTCGAGAAGATCGATTGGGGCAAAGCGCCGTTCCGCGCTTACTACAAGGATTTCGACATCGAGGCGGCGTGCGCTGCTCCAGCTGGCGGCCTCGGCAGCTGCGCCACCACGGCGGCCAACTGGTGGGAGGCTCCCTCGTTCCAGCAGCTCAACGCGGCTCAGGCCAGGGCGTATCGTTGGGTGAGGGTGAACCACCTCGTCTACGACTACTGTACTGATCGGACTCGTTACCCGGTCCCGCCCCCAGAATGCTTGGCTGGCTACTGAAGGAGACGAAGCTGAAGTGGCCTGCGTGTGTGTGTGTGGGTGTGCAGGACCAGAGAATAATATGATGGATTGATGTAAGGAACTTTAGCCTGTTGTGGTTTTATGCGATGAGAGCTCCCAAATTGAGACCATGCGTTGACAATGTTCCACATATCAATTTCGTTGACCTGGTCAACTATCATTAGCCATTCCAAGCGAAAGCCCGAGTCATCTTAAGCCGACCATGAGCTCGCGCCATGCCACCAACTACCGAGACCCCAAGCAGCAGAAACAAGTGTTCCGCTGCAAAACCTCGAACACCTGTAAACAAGGATCGAGCACCATCCTTCCTGCTTCAAAGACCACCCACAGCAAGCAACTCGAAGGAAAGGGCAACAAAAAGCGAGCCGTCATCGTCTAAAGGAAACATGTCTCTGAAACCAAGCTCGGTGAAAGCATCCGAGACTCCGGCAGTTGGGAAAGCTGGTCTTCCACTCGGGAAGGCCATAGGTCATCCAAAGACCACGTCGGAGAGGAGGGAAACCCTTGCCGCCACTTCCATGATCACTGCAGTCAACCCCCAAGGAGGAGGGGAAAAGGTCATCGGCAATGAGGCACAAGACCGGACAAAAGTGAGCATGGATGAAGAAAGTCGGGGGGCTCGGAGGAGAACAAAGAGCCCAAAGCCCATAATGCTGATGATAAGAATCCGAGAAGCCAAGCTGAAGCTACAGCCAGAGAGCGAGAGTAGAGGCGAGGGAGACGAGGCAGTGGCAGAAGAGAAACCCAAATTTAAGGAGCGTGAGGAGAGAGCGGTAACGGAGAGGAAGGCAAAGGCAGAGCAAAAGAATGTGGCGTCGGAGAGGAAGGCGACGTTGAGCGGGAGGAAGGATTCGCCAAGTGCTTACAATGATGTAAATGAGGAGGCGGCCCACAAGCTGGCGTCAAGGCGGAACAAAGTCACAGCCCTCGCGGGAGATTTCGAGACCATCGTATCATTACAAAAGCCGGAGGCCAAATCGAGTCAGCCCGAGCAGTAGGTGGCGGTGGCGGCGAGGAGCGGCAGCAGCCACGCTGGACCTTCTCAACCTGGTCAGCAGCAAACAGAGGAGGTGGTGGTGGGACATGGAGCCAATCCGTAGAACGGAGAAGTGGAAGAGACGGAGACGAAGGGTAGTCGGACGGATCAACAGTCAACCGAAGAACGCTGAAGCCAATAAGAGAGAGATGAAGTCTACATCGAGTGTTATGTATACATATATATATATATATATATATCAGTGATGCTATTGGAAAGTTAGATGGACTTATCATGTCCAGTATTAACAGAGGTAACAGGCTCGACAGGCATAGTGAGTGCATGGGACTCGATTAATGTTGTATGCTCTTTGGTGGAACCATAGCAAGTGGAAGGCACTGATGTTACAGAGGAATGTAATGCTTATCTTCAAGTAAGTGCTTTGGAGGGCTACAAAAGCTTTCGGTGGTGGGCGGTCATTGTGGAATCACTGTCGGATGAGCTTCGTGCATGGACCATACTTTGACGTAGCCATCGGGCCTCCTTTCTGATCGACGGTTGTGCGGTCTCTCGACAAAAATGATGTACTTTGGATGCTTGCAATTAGAATAACTGTTGGCTGCGGGTTCCAATCCCGTTAGATTATGTGATCCTATTTAATTAGGTAAGATATATTATAGATATTATTTGATTCTGATTATGGTTATTGACCAATAGAAAAGAAGTTCATATTAAAGTATGATTCCTTAGGAGATAACATTGATGGGAGAAATTCTCCTAATAATTTATTCTAGACCTTCTGCTCTCGCCTATAAATAGACAGGACCTCTAGGGGCTAAGGAGATCATCTTGTAGATCAGATAAGGTTTATTTTCTGAACAACAAGAAAAGGTACATATCGTAATATTGTTAGATTCAATTTATTTGATTTCAATCTTGCATAAAATTTTTTTTCACGTTACATATAGCATGATTACATATTTTATACGAACAGATCCCACACGAAAATGGACTCGCGGAACACGGACCCGAACTCTGTTAATCCTCCCTTTAATCGTGTCACTTACTGACACCACCACAATTCCACCATTAACGAATGCAACTACGTAGTCGAGCTACTTACTAACTAAGAGATGTGGTGCTATTGGTAGCGTGTCAAAATCCGAGTGAGAGACGTGACTTCTCCCGCGAGGATGTCTCACCTGCTTCCTCCCCGCGAATCCCAAAGCACTGGTTCATTCCACGTCTCGTCGGCCGTCACGTTGAACTCGCACAACCTTCAAAGCTTTCGGCCGTGGAGAAATCAACAGTTTGAATCCAATTCCTCCTGCTTCCATTAGATAGGCTGTTGAGAGTCGAGACAACCGAAGAATCGGAGAGATGTGACTCTACTTGTTTTCCCCCCAGCTTGCGTGAAGAAGTTTTGTGCTGCCTTGTGGCCGGAAATATGAACACGTCGAGTTCATGGCCTCGCGATGCGTTTCTTTTATACTTCTTTGTACCTCTGACATATGCTTTCATCAATTATGGTGATTCAATATACGGGAAAAGAAAAGAGGACTTATTGTTCGTGATGTGAGTGGTTCGATAGGGATTGATAATGGGGTCCAACAACTGGTTTATGCAACCACTGCCTCACCCCAATTGCGACATGACAATAACCAGAGGATCCAATGCCACTCTACCGTAGTCTTCTTGTATAGATTTATGTGCTCCTGTGTGGGCGACTCACGAGACGACAAAAGGTGTTTGAATGCCAACGCTGAAAACATGAGCGAGGGGAAGAAAACTGAAATCCCTCTATATATATATATATATATATATATATATATATATATATATATATATATATATATATATATATATATATATATATACAAAGACGTGGACCGCATCGAAAGTCGCATTCCCGAACGAACACATTGATACATTCATTTGACGCACGCGACCGAGACCTTCCACCTGCATTTTGACACGTGAGAAAAGGAGAGACCATCGACGGCAGCCACCAATGGCGTGTTGACGCGTTGTTTCGCGGCCCGCCATGACACCGTCTGCATGCCGGAAATCCTCCTTACTACTATATATATATATATAGAATTATAACACGGTATGTTACGATGGGATGGGGTCGGGCGTATCATTTGTTCCTCCCAATGTTGGTCAGTATCCTGTTGGAACCATAACAGCGAACACGGGCTTACGATGCTTTAGGCGGGCAAACAAATGTGGGCCCCGTCGAAGGGAGTAAGACACCGGTCGCGCAGCAGGGATGATGGTGTTTGAGAAGGAAGAGGGGATGCGAGGGGACGAGGAGGGCGGCCGGCTGCCGGTTGCACGCATCCGGCGCGTGGGGCCACCAACATCGCGGTGCATACCGGGAAACCGGATGCTAAGGAGTAGGTATTCCGAGAAGGAAAGGAATCGACGCCCCCGCACTTGATATTCGTACCCCACCTTGGTTCCGCGGATGAGACGAGGGATGCTACACGAGGCGAACCATCCTCTCCGTGGCAACAAAAAGATGCGGGTGTGACGATAACAGCCACCAGAAACAAAGAAGAATAAAAGGGAGCAGCAGCGGCGGCAGAGGCAGAGCAAGCCGGCTTCGCGGTGGAAACGAGAAACGTGCGGCGAAGGCTGTGCTTGGGCGGAGACTCCGGAAAACTATAAGCGACCGACACCATACCACACACCGTAGCGTGGGAACTGGGTGTTCATCGGAGAAGAGGAGGAAGGCGTTGCGTTCGCCGGGGTGGGTGGTGGTGGACAAGGGGAGACGGCCTGGCAGGAGCAGGGCGGCTGGGGTCGTACCCCGCGAGCCGGCGGCGGAGGTTAGGGGCCAAGGTCATGTCTTGGTGGCGCAGGAAGGTGGTCTTCCCCGTCAGGCGAGCTTGGCTCGCCGTCTCCTTCCGCGTCAAGTCTCGAAAACACGGTAACCACAAGCGCCCCTCTCTCTCTCTCTCTCTGTCTCTCGCTCTCGTTCACTGTGGTTCTACAGTTAATATTGCTTTATGCTCTGTTTCGAAAGTTAGCAGTAGCAGAGCAGAGAGAAGAAGGCAGGAAGGACTAAAGAGTAAAGAGAGACTAATTTCTGTCCTATTGCCATCTGATGTGTCATTTAGAACTTATCCTTTCTCAAAGTGAAACAGAGTAGCTTTGGAGATATCAGGCTCTCAATCTGTCCTATGGTTCTTCACCAGTTCAGCTTGCAAGAAGGCAACAGATTATTACTTCCCTTTCTTGCTCTTCTTCCCAATTTCCTCAATCCAGCCAAATGCAACTGTTCAATCTATCAGCTCGCTTTCTATTTACCGTCCCAAAAAATCAAATAAATAAGAATTTTGATATAAAATTTCCTGTTTTAAGTCATCTGACTTCTCGACTCTCTTCTGCTATTTATATTTTGCCCCTCCAAATTCTAATCAACTATATATCAATACATATGTATATCCCTTCAAATGTTTTGGTGTTACAAATATATCCCTTTATCCTTCATAAATTCTACTTCCGATAGTATCTGTCCAATAAACTCGGATTAATCGACATCAACTATTGTTACCATTAATTCTAAGAATAAAATTTCGATAATTAAAATATCTCTCATCACCATCATTTATCATTTGATTCTTTGTTACAAAAACTTAGAGAAATAAACACACAAATTATTTATTAGAAGGAAGGCAAATGTAAATTGAGGGGGTATTAATGTCAACCATGAAACATGCTCATCGGTTATATATGCGTGTGTGTGTGTGTGTGTGTCTGCCGAGCCAAAACTTAGAGAAAATGGAGGGATGATATATATATTAATGCAATTGAGCTTTATTTTTCTAATGAGGACTACTTGATTCATGATGAATGATGCACTGCAACTTTCAGAAGATGAAGAGAAATGTCATATTGGAACATCTCCTAACTTTTCGGGACAAAATATTGTCACGCGTGTTTGCTGAGAGCATCATCATTCACTGAAAAATGAATGCTTTTATTTTCTATATGGTGTATGCAATTACTATAGATAATATGCATTGTACTAATAATATATGGTAGTATTGCAGTGATGGGAAAAAGAAAAATATAGGTTTGGTCGGCTGCATCTTTCATATGGGTGGGTGATCCTCCACCGAAGGAATTATGCAGGTCAGATGCTTAGGTGTTAGGTAGATTGCTCGCTTGGAGCTCTCGTCGTGACAGGGTTTTATGTTGGTATGACTCGATACTCCCAACTGGATCATGCGAACATCCTATTAGTTTACGGATGGAGGGGGGGGGTGCTGTAGCTAAATGTGGTTGGTCAGATCCTACTACAAGCACAGCATCAGTAGCGTGCCATGATCCACTGTTCTCTCTCTCTCTCTCTCTCTCTTCTTGGAATATGCCAAGAACGAGAATCTGATTCTGATTCGGGGATATGGTCCTAATCCTATTGGGACACAATCATCCTTGATGCCAATTGACTTGGAGGAGCAATAAATGCCCTATATGATGATGATGATGATAATGAATGACTACAGGCTGCTGTAGATGTCATGGTGTGCAAGACATGGGACAGTGCCTTGTCCCAAAGGCTGCTGTTGTATGAAAGATAAAACTAATGGTGGGCTCGCCACTTGTGGGCAGGTGGAGGAATTCTCAAGCTCTACGATGACGTGCAGATGTGTGGATACGAAGATGTGCAGGTCATGTGGGAGATACTGACCAAGTCGGAGATGGAGACATCAAACGGGATGCCGAAGCAGCGCAGGCGATCGCTCTGGCGAGTCTCATCTTGGTATAGCAGATCAACCGCCGCTTCTGCTCCCATCCAAGCTTACGAGTGAAACAGTCAGTACCTGAGAGATCAAACCGAGCATAGATTAGGATTAGGATTAGGATTGGTTCTTCTTCCATGATTCCCAGTCTCATAAGATCACAATTAAGGTATTTGATAGCTGTATAGTTTGTCACAAACCTCGTGTACTTGCTGCTGCTGCTGCTGTTACATGTGCATACCAAACTCGGAAACCTCTCCCCCCTCCGCTGCATGAGGTGGAAGAAGGGTTTTATGGCTGTCATTAATTGCACCACCTGCTATTGATCTACATGAACCCAAAACCGATGGTGAAGCATCCGACCCCTGTTCACAGTTGGTTTATGTGGTTGTGTGAGTTCTCTGTGTGGACAAAAGGTAATCGAGTCACCATCCAAGATGCATTATTGACTTACAGGCCATGGCACACGGAAAATGACACTCTTCCACTTCCATTCAGTGGCCAAGATCCATACTTCCAACCTCATCACTTTCTCTCAAAGTCCCTTTTGGGCATGCATATCAGTCACAACAGCTTCCCTTTCTTGTTCCCCAAACTCTCCTTGAAGAACCACTGATTCATTCTCTCATCAACTTTCTTGTCAACTGTCGCGAGCACAAGTCCTTTCTTCGTCCGGAGCCTGCTGATCTCTGACTTGCACCTGTTCCGAGATACCGCTCTGCTTCTGCTTTAGATCCTTCGACTTCGAACTCCACTTTCTTTGTATCCTGATCTTGCTTCTTCTCTTGTGGAACTATACTTTCCTTCTTCTGCTGAAGATCTTCAAATCCAGCTTCTAATCCTTCAGATGATCCTGTGCCAACTCCTGCTGATCCATTCTCTGATCAACTTGAAGTTCCTCGCACAGCCGAAGATCCTTATACAGATCCAGCATCTACAACTTTCTGGGATATGCCGGTCTCCCATTGGGAACTACTTCTCCAAAGACACAATCCTAAGGCAGCATCATCCCTGTAAGAGAAATATATGTGCTTGAACATTGAAATAAACTACGATGAGGATGTCCAAAATATTCTTCTAGGATATGGAACAGACTTCGACAATGCAACAGCATGAGACATACCTTTGCCTTCTGCTTGAACAATGTCAGACTCGGTGGCTGGTACCGTCGAAGGTTCTGCCCCACCAAGATAAAGAAAAGGTAACTGAGCAATATCACCAGTTAAGTTGTCAGACAATGAGAAAAATACCAACCAAATAATGATTCAAGAAGAATCTCAAGTCCCATCAAGAAAGAGACGAGGAGAACCATCAAAAAGAAAACGATGGGAAAAAAAAGAAAGAAAAGCTATTCGCAGCACAAACACCATCTCCATAATTCCTTCTGCTAAAAGTTGGATAGTATTTTGATGTTAACAATGACTTTGCATCAAATGCAGTCACACCACAAAAGAAAAAATAGAAAAGAAGAAAATGCATGAGAAAACACATGGACAGCATGATCAAACTTTCGGCGGCGAAAAATATCAGTTGCTCTAAAAGCCTGAAACCAGCTCAGAGCCAAATGTCATGTGCATCAGATGTAAAACACGGTATCAAAATTGCATCCTTGTCAAGATGACAACCATATCAAGTTCAGATATAAAACTCCTTACATGTTGTCACTAGTAAACTCGGCAGATGCAAAAAGTCACTGCCATAAACTAATCAGAACAGCAAAGTATTATGGTGGAACAATCATGTATTGATACTTTATTGAGAAAAATCATCAAGCTACGTGTTATGCACCTACTATTAAATCTAAAACAGCTTAAACTTGAGTATGCACAAAATTCAAACTATCTTCCATTTATTTCTTCAATCTTCTAACTTTGAGTTTTTGTTATCTCCTCGAGTAATGGAGGTATACGACGCAACCAAACCATCCATTACGTCTTTGATTGAATCTCAACAGTGCCCATCAAAATCATATGACAGTCTCAAATACCTGTGATTTTGACGGATGTAGATCCCTCTCGATAATGGATCTCCCATGAGGATCTGAATTCTCATACTTAGAACCAGCCAATAATATGATAGAAATCTCATATGTAACAACTTTGCTGCTGCTGACATAATAGAGTTGAGAACAGTATATTTTGTTGGTATATCATGACATAATAGAGGCGAGAACAGCAGCTGCTGATTCTGTCATTCCTTTCCTGTGATAAACAATTGTAAGGTATATATAAAAACAAGGATCTAAATCTTAACATCATATGGTTCAATGCTTTCAATGCATCTTGACCAGGAGAGATTGCCACATGTATTAGGAGTTTTCAGATGTTGCATGTGTGTACTCATTTGATGCTTTCTGGAATAATAAAAAACACAGGAGGCTTGCGAATGCAAATTGTATGGATCCTACTTGGTGAAATTATTCTGACTAGAAACTTGAGATCTTTTAGCTAAGAAATCAGAGAGTTAATTGGAGAATTTTTGAAGAATCCATATGGTACATATGAGAAGCATATATTCTTTCAAGTATAAAAGAATCATATAGAGTAATTCTTCTAGTCAGAATAATATAATTTCACAAAGTAATTTAGTGTGTCACTTCTTAAAAATGCTGCAGTAGCATTAATTTTCCAATCAGAAGAAACTTCTGCTAGTTTTCTAATTTGTATCTACAGAAGAAGGCATATCATGCTACATCCAATCTAAAATCAACCTAGCATATGCCATAAAATACAGAATAGAAAAGGCGAAGTACATTGAAGGAAATTCTGAACTATGAGGAGTGCATCAATTGTGATATTTTTAACATCATTTTCGATGTTGTGAAGCATTAAGTTATCAAGCTGACTGAATCAACAACCCTTGGGATCAGAGAAGCACGTCCTTACATTTTTTGGTGCCTTGGGTTGCAAGTATACCACGATGTGATTGCAATATTTCCAAGCTTCTTACATGAAAAAAGGTCTGCTAAACAATTATCCTGTTGCCAAGACAAGTTGAGTTGCACAGAATCATTCGGAAAATGGTCATGGAGATTACATGAGTAAAAGGTTAAATCATACAAGTTCTTGTAGCTTCTGTAGACATTATTAGGTTGCTGAAGATTAACCTAAAACATGAGCATGATGTAGAAAAATGACTAATCATGTAAGCAAGTAACTAAAACAAACTTCATGGTTGTGTGATGAATATGTACTGATAAATTCTCTGTACAAACTACAAGGACATACAGGTTCATGCAGAAGCATGGACAATTGTACATGGAATAACCAAGAATTGTCAAAGCACACATATTTTTCCTCTTTATAAGTCACAACAAGGAAATGTTGCTTCTATTTGCTTACTATTTGCTTACAGAAATTGAAGGGCTACAGTGTTCACAGGACATTGTGAAGCTAATATGATAACATCTA